AGTACTTAATTATTAGCGTGGATGGACCTAAAACCAACTCCTGGTCTGTTATTGACGAGGGAACAATGTTATGCGATGGTTGAAATCTTAAAATGTCGATTTTTGGATAATATAGTCTTATCCTGATCAGTCCAATGACAAAGTTCTGCATTTTTAACCAATTTTTTTTTAACATGTTTTTATCTTTTGTCTTATGCATCTTAAACCAAAATCTTTCACAGTGGATGCAAATGGACTGTTTCATGACTATGGCAGTGTTCTCTCTGGTCCCAGGACTTCAGCAGAGACGGGACCGGGGGTGAATGCTTCTTCAAAGAGCGCCTTGAAGTAGAGACACTGTGTTTTTGAGGAAATGTGTCAAACGGAGGAAATTCGTCACTTATTTATCTCCAGACACAAGTCGGACGTGCAGGTTTACCGTGAGAAGCAACAAGGACATGGAGCAATTATGACATTATTTGTTTTACTTTATTTTGATTACACAGGGCGGCACGGTGGCTGAGTGGATAGCACTCTCGCCTCTCAGCAAGAAGGTCCTGGGTTCGAATCCCGGTCGGACCAGGGCCTTTCTGAGTGGAGTTTGCATGTTCTCCCCGTGTCTGCGTAGGTTTCCTCCGGGTACTCCGGTTTCCCCTACCACTAAAAATATGTCCAATAGTTCTGGCATGCGCTTCCTGTACTGTCGACCCCGCTCCCATCTCTGTGTGGAGTGAGAGACAAATGCCCAAAATTAACAATTGTAAACCGCTTTGAGACTCAGATCTGCAGTGAAAAGGCGGTATATAAATAAAAACTTACTTACTTACTTACATGAATTAAACATGAAGATGAAAGGCTCGGCTCGTGTCCTGCTGTAGAAAGTCAATAACCGGTCCCATCTTTTCTCCAAATCTGACTTTTTTAATTGCTTTTGTGCAGTCAACCGCTCCATTAAGGAAAGTTGTCTTGTTTTTTGTGTCCACTGATTGACTGTTTGTGGACCAGGTTTTTTCATTTCATTTCATTTGTTTATTTCTTTCGAGCCCATAACATTACACATTTGTTTACACAACAAGCATCCCACAACATTGCACAAGAACAGAACATGATTCACTAATGCTCCTGTGCCCTGAAGAAAAATAAAAAAATAAAACATAAAACCACCTATTACATATTCACATAGGCCTTGTTGTTCATAAGCACACTCCAAGAGCTCGAAAATGGAGTGGGAAGAAGAAAAAACTTATAAACTCCCACCCCATGTATATTATGATAAATCATAATGTTTCATAAAAATAATAATTCATCCAATTCGCATCACATTTGAATGATACGCCGCAGCGGGCTCAGCACCTCACCCGACCGGTCCCAGAGACAACGAGCAGCACTATAGCAGCAGACAAACTGCGCAGAGGATGATCCCGGCAGCACACACCAGCCCTCCACAGCCATGCCCCGAGTCATCACCCCAATGGGAATACATGCATGTTTCCTTTTTTTTTTTTTTTAACCAACAAATTGTTATAACTCTTCTTCCCGTCATTCAGAAGAGATGGAGATTAAATTCCTGGTCTTGGAGGTCCAAAGGGATGGGGTCAAAAGTTTTGTGTAGAGCAACAAATCCACTGTAATTTTTTGCATTTTTAAATTTATTTTTATTTACTTTTTTATTATGATTGTAAAAGGTCGTTTACAGTATTCCTGCATTCAGGTGATAGTTGAGATGTAGTCACACAAAATAAAAAAAAATAAAAAAAGATAAAGTAAACAATGACAGATATTGTAAAGAGAATAAAAAAAACACATTTATACACACACTCACTCTCTTTTTCACGTTGCTGATGCAGGAGGGTCTAAGGACAGTGACGTGTGTTCAGGATTATATTTCATGTGTTCAAACTGTTTCTCTGATCTGTTGTTGAGGAATCGACAACCTAAAGAGACGACTGCGGTTGTGATTTAGGGCGATACAAAAATACATTAGATTGAACTCTCTTTGGAACTTTCTGTGAGATTGTTTCTCAGCAAGAAGGTCCTGGCTTTGATTCCACCTCCAGGCCTTTCTGTGTGGAGTTTGCACGTTCTCCCTGTGTCTGCGTAGGTTTCCTCCAGGTGCTCCGGTTTCCCCTACCGCTGAAAAACATGCACAATAGGTCTGATTGTAGTGAGTAATTGAAGGGATGGTGTTTGGTCAGAGGCTTTGATGGTCCATTGTGTTCGGAGTCTCAACACCGCGTGGAGAGAGAATGGAACAATATCTGAACTCTTGACATTGTAAAGCGCTTTGGTTGACCTTGGGCTGTAAAAACATGGTATATAAATAGAGGTGCAACGGTTCATCACTGATCCGTGATCCGTTCGGTTCAACGTCTTCGGTTCGGTACAGACGTGATCCGCGGTTTGATTTATGAAAAAAAAGTTGTGCGCACGTTGTTCAGTCCACACACAGCGCGGTCATTGCGAGCGGAGGAACGGAGATGCTTGAAAGCCCCGCGTCATTTAAATCCCCAGTATGAGAGCATTTTGGCTTCACTGTAACTACACTGATAATTAATATTCGACAAAACTGTCACGATGTGTAAGCACTGTGGCACAAGAAAGACATGAGTGAAAAAAGCGTCTCAACAACCGCTTATTGTCGCGGCATTTAAGCAGCTCCTTTACGCACAGTCAGACCGGGCTAGAGTCAACTCTCCCGCGCATCCTCAGCTGCGTTCACGACTGACGCTTGGACGTCCCGCGGAACCTATAATAGATCCATGAGCAGAACCGCTCACTTCATCACCGCAGACTGGGAGATGAAAAGTCTGGCGCTGCAGACACGCCCCCTCTACGACAGTCACACAGTCACACAGCGCAGGTACTGACACAAGCAGCGGAGGAATGGAAGACAAACGCCCAGTACTAATATCCCAGTCACAACTGATAATGCCAAAAATTAAATAAATGCAGTGAATGAGGCTGGGCCCAGAATGGAGCGCCTCCTCGAATCAGGAAGGTGGTGTAATATATGAGAGTAAATATCCTCATAAAGTGCCTTCTTATGTTGCACTTTGTGTTGTTTTTCATTAATTATGTTAAATAGACATAATTGGATGGATGGAATATTCCATCCATCCATCCATCCATTTCCTTCCCCTTAATTCATTTCTAGGTCAGGGGGGGCAGTCAGAGCAGGTGCCGAGTCCACATGAGCTGTGTTTATTAAAAAGACAACACTTTTTTTTTGAAAAATGAACCGAAAAATGAACCGAACCGTGGCCTCTGAACCGAGGTACGAACCGAACCGTGATTTTTTCAAACCGTTGCACCCCTATATATAAATAAACATTTCTTGCTTAACACGTACACTGGCATGCTTTCGTTTGTCTGACTCAGTGTAATTATATGACTTTGTTTTTAGCCGTCCACATTGTAGTTGATCCATCAGTTATGTAAACCTCGTCTTCTCCTCCCCTCACCTCGCGTCAGATCTCATTCTGTCGAGGCTTTTGTCCGTCACCAGGAAATCCATCTTGTTTTGTTTCAGCGTCTTTTCAAGTCGCTTCTGTTCTTGAACTTCAAGCTACAAAACCATCCGTGTTGAGTTCCTGAACCTGGACTTTGGATAAGTTGCCAATAAGTTGAGCAGAAACATCTCTATCTCTTCATAATAAAACCCGACACACAGTACAATCAAGGAAATAAACAGTTTACATTTTCATTCTGTGTGTGCAATCCCTCAACCCAAAGGACACATCCACACACACAGATTGTTAAAGGTTCTACAACAGTTGTCTGGACAGAAGCACACAACAGACAAGGGATTAGTTTTTTACATGCATGTAACAAGGAGATGTCTTTGCAGCTGCCCGAGGCCTGTGCTCCTCACACAGCCAAAAGCAAAGTCCTGCTTGATGCTCTGCAGGCAGCTTATTCCTTTCAGAACAGATAACCCACACCCGCACACACGGAAAAGCCGCAAAAAGGTGAAGTTACATATTAACCACTTGTTGGACATCGTCTTGCAACATAGTTTTCACAAAACACCCCATTTGTGGACAATGGGGATAATTACTAGCCTGGTTTCAACACCTCAATGGTAGATTTCCACACTCCAATGTGATTATATTCACATTCATTTAAATGATAACCTAAACAACAATTCCACTAACACAAATCTAAATACAAAATAGAAAGAAGACAGAAAGTGAGAAAAGAGGGATGTTGTGGAAATTCTGCAGTGACCAAGAGCAAAAATAATGTAAACACCCAAGAGCTGTAAAGCGCACATATACAATGAATAACAGAACCAATACTACCGGGCAGCCGTCTGAAGTCGTCTGCCCCGAATGAGGAAATGACTGGACATTAAATAGACCAGAGTAAACAAAGACATACAGTATCTACTCTGGATATTACAGAGATGAAGTCAACAAGTGTTGCTCAAGGCTTCTCTTTGCCTCTCTTTTGACCTGAACATATTGTCCTTTGACCCAGATGAGGTCAAAGACATGTAGAAACACGTCTCCATCTATCACTGACCTGGATGACAACTGAATCCAGAGTTGACTATTAGTAAATAACTTACACTTATAACTATTTTGTGTTCATTCATATTGCTTTACTAAAATATTTCTATAACGGGGAGAAAGAAATATATATATAGAAAAGCAAACTCTTTAACAGACAAGGCCCTGTGTCCTCTCGTCTTCAGCCTGGTCCTCCGTACAACAAGAAGGTGCTAATCTTGAGAGGAGGGCAAATAAATATGAACTATTTAGACTTTTTAAAACACTAAAATCTACAGGGAGGCGGTATAGAGATTGAAGGTTGAATTGAATATTGTCTGTTTCTCTGCATGTATCAGTTTTCCAAGCTGTATTGTAGAAAGTTTTGTTAGCAATTTGGTTTTATTAACCATTTGCATACATTTTTTTAACTAAACATTGGGGGGGCGTCAAACTTCCTCAAACAATCCTCGCTATTTCCACAAACCATTACTTTACCCGCACCATTGAAATTATTTGCAATGTTTTCAGGTCCTGGCCGGTATGAACGTCCACCCTGGAGAGTTCGACGGCCTGAAGCAAGAGTACAACGTCAAAGGCTACCCCACGTTCTGCTACTTTGA